ATAAGTTGGCCTCTAGGGCTCACTTATATTCAACAATTCACCCCCCTCTCTAGCGTCGGGCCTATATTCTAACAATTGGCATCGGAGCCATACTCTCTGAAAGACTTAACCGTTTTAGAGAAATGATCAATGGCTTTTACTCAAAACTTATACGCAGGTTTAGGCGAAGGACAATCCACCACGAGGCCTCTGTTGTTTGATGGAACGAACTACACATATTGGAAGGAGCGGATGAGGATTTACATCCAATCCACCAACTTTCTCCTGTGGAGAATAATCAAGAACGGCGAAGATGTGCCCATGAAGAAGGTCGGGGAAACCAACGTCCCTAAAACCGAGGATGAGTACGATGCGCAAGACATCAACAAAGTCGAGAACAATGCATAGGCCATCAACATCATCTATTGTGCCATAAACCTGGATGACTACCGGAAGATTTCTTGTTGTTCCACCGCCAAGGAAATGTGGGACAAGCTAGAAATCACCTATGAAGGTACGGATCAAGTCCGAGAAGCTAAAATAGATTTTCTAACCCATGAATATGAGTTGTTTCGTATGAAGGAGAATGAGAAAATCGATGAGATGTTTGAACGACTCTCAAAAATCGTCATTGACCTCCACGCTCTCAAAAAGACGTACATGGACAAGGAGCTTGTAAGAAAAATCTTGCGGAGTCTCACATCGGAATGGGGCTCCAAAGCCGATGCTATCCAAGAATCCATCGGCATCACCAACGTCACCATCGACGGGCTTAGAGGTAACCTCAAAACCTATGAGTCTACCATTCTTTTGCCCTCTTTAGGCGAACAAAAGAAGAAGGGAATTGCACTCAAGGCTTCCACAAGCCAAGAACCTGCCATAGAGGAATCGAGCAACGAAGAAAACAAGTTCGAGCTCGTTATCAAGAAATTCTACAAGTTCATGCGGAAGGAGTATGAACAGAAGAGCAAGAAGCAAGGAGGACCACCCAAATGGGTGTGGAGGAATTGGGCATATCAAGCCAAAATGCTCAAACGCCAAGAATGAGAAAGAGAAGAAGCCATTCAAACAGCTGTTAGATTAACGTCCCAACGCTAGAGGGGGGGTGAATAGCGTTTGAAACAAAAATGACGCAGGAATAAAAAATTAAAAGCGTAAAGTAAGAGCAGGGAAGAGGCACACCGTTTATACCCTGGTTCACCACAACTTGTGGCTAGTCCAGCCTCTCGAGAGACTTTCTCGACCTAAACTATCAACGTTAAGCTTAACGGTGCTTAACAAACCCGTACAACTTGAGAGTTCGAGTCACACGAACCTCAATGAACCTTTGAAGGAAACAATCCTTCCTTCAAACTACTCAATAGAAATACTTTCTCTTATCAAGTGTCTAAGAACACTAAATCACTCAAGAACAATACTCTCTTTTAGAGTGGATGATGAGTAACTAAGAACGCTCAAGAACACAACACGAACTTCACAAAAATGGCTCTCGAAAAGCTATGAATAATGTATGAATGTTATGCAATGAAAGAATAAGAGTTGTGAAGTAATGTGATGCGTAAAGCAGACCCAAATACCCCATTTTATAGTAGAAAAATAGGCTCCAACGGGTAGGAGTTAAATGGGGATGATCGGCATAATTTGTGGGATTTGATTAAAATTGGATCTGCTAAAAATCACCGAGACAATGCTGTCCATGGCTTTGACATCGCTGTTCTAGGCTTAGTTTTTGAAAATTGGGAAGCAACGGTCAAGCCAACAGCGATGTCCAAAACCACTATATCGTTGTTTTGGCTGTTGACTTCCAAACAAGGAAAGTTTTATCCATAAATTCCTTCCAACGGTCAGGTGCCTACATCGATGTTCATTACTTGAACATCGTTGTTCAGGCTTGACTTTAAAGGTTGAGAAATTGGCTTGACATCGCTGTTGCTTGTCAATAGCGCTGTCCAAAAAATTTCTGCCAAGGCATTTCTTTTTGGCTTAGGTTGGAGAGCGATGTAGGGTAGTCTACATCGTTGTTCTAGATGTTTCTAGAAACCCAACCTTGGCTCAACAACAATGTCTAACATCCAACATCGCTGTTGGAGGACTGATGTGTGCGTGGGAACGTAGGCGCACTCATTGCATACATGGGGGAATGATTATTGTTTTAATTATTGTTGTTACATTGTGTTAGTACGAACATTTCTTTTGTAGTTTGACTTTTTCTTGTGTTGTTGCACAAATAGTACGTGGAGTCAAGAAGTGCACAAGTAGTGGAGTCAAGAAGTGGGCAACTGCCTGCATGATTTTAGGTCATTATTGTTAGAAGTCTGCATATTTAAGAAGTCTGTTGTTCCTTGTTTTAATCAATGAAATATATCAGAAAATTGCCCCATCTTTCTCTCTTGGTTCTTTCCTTCCCTCTTTATTTTCTGACTGGATATTGATATCTATCAGTATCAGAGACAGTCGATTCTATGGAGACTCGCAATCAAACGAATGCTAAATTTCGCCAAGAAATGCAGGCATTCATGACCCGCGAGCAAGAAACTATCCAATCCCTCATTTCCAAGGTTCAATCCCTGGAGACCCATTCTGCCAACTCATCTGCCTCCTCCAGCAACAATTCATCCCGTGGTATCACTCAACCACAGACGAAGCTTCTCTTTCCAGAGTTTGACGGAACTGACCCAATTGGTTGGTGTATTTGTCCGAGCAATATTTTGACTTTGCGAAGATTTCCGCAGATCAACAAGTTTCATTGGCCTCCTTCCACATGGAAGGGATCGCTCTCCAATGGTACCGGTGGTTCACAAAATTGAAAGGACCTTTAACGTGGAGCGAACTCACCTGGGCGGTGCTGCAACGTTTTGGACCTACAGACTTTGACGACCCATCGGAGTCCCTTTCGCACTTGAAACAGACGACGACAGTGGCAGCCTATACAGAATTGTTAGAACAGTTATCCAACCGCATCGATGGCCTACTAGAATCCTATTTAATCGGGTGTTATGTCGCCGGATTGAAGGAGGATATACGGTATGAGGTTAAGCTTAAAAAACCCAGAAAACCTTCCGGAGACAATAGGTCTGGCTCGTTTGATTGAGGAAAAGATTAATATCCACAAAAGGCCCCACCCTCGAATCGCTTCAATTCTACTAACCCTACCGCCCTTACGACCCCATCTAGCCCTGGGCTGTTAGGCCCTCATCCGGTTAACCGCCCCCATGTTAACCCTACCGACCCTGCACAAACCCAAGTCAGGCGTATCACTAGCGCCGAATCTAAAGCACGAAGGGATCAAGGCTTATGTTACTACTATGACGAGAAGTTTTTCCTAGGTCATCGTTGTGCTAAACCTCAACTTTTCATGATTTGTGAAGTAGAGAACAATGTGAACGTTGAAACCCCAGACTCAAAATATGAGATAATACAACCAGTTTCTACTCCTGAAGTTTCATTCCATGCTATTACTGGAACTGTCCATCCACAAACCATCCGTCTTCTGGGAAAAATCGGAAACACAGAGGTGATTGTCCTCGTGGATGGAGGTAGCACACATGATTTTATTAACCAATCATTAGTCAAGAAGTTTGGGCTCATGGTCAATCGAGAAGCAAGGTTCGAGGTTATGGTGGCTAATCGAGAGCGACTCTCGTGTGTCGGTCATGTTCGAGGCCTCACATTGACCGTCCAAGGATACACTATTACGACTGACTATTACGTCCTTCCGGTAGCAGCATGTCAAGTGGTGCTTGGAGCCCAATGGTTAAAGACACTAGGTCCTGTCGAACTGGACTACCAGCGTCTCACTCTTTGGTTCAAAATATGAGATTCCACTTATTTGTTAGAGGGGACCAGACAACATCTCGGACATTTAACGGATGCTTTGACAGAGAAGGAGTTGAATCAGCTCTAAGGCATGGGTTATCTTTTCCAAATTGGATTCAGCAAAGAAGTCACTCAAATGGACCAATCCATAGAGAACCGAGAACTTCAACAATTGTTGGTAGAATTCGAAGGGGTGTTTAAGCCTCCCTCCACACTACCACCACACCGTTCCTGTGATCACAACATCACATTAAAACCGGAAGCTGGACCGGTTAGCGTCCGCCCATATAGGTACCCATACCACCAAAAAAAAGAGATGGAAAAGATGGTCCAGGAATTGTTGCAGTCAGGTGTGATTCGCCCTAGCCACAGCCCATTTTCTTCTCCCGTTTACTCGTTAAAAAACATGATGGGTCGTGGAGGTTTTTTGTGGATTATCGGGCATTGAATGACCTGACGATCAAGGATAAGTACCCGATTCCGATTATCGATGAGTTGCTTGATGAACTAAGAGGCGCTCGGGTTTTCTCGAAATTGGATCTACGATCAGGCTACCACCAGATTCGTGTTCAAGAAGATGACATACCCAAGACTGCCTTTCGAACTCATGAGGGTCATTATGAGTTTACGGTCATGTCGTTCGGCGTAACCAACGCTCCTGCCACCTTCCAAAGTCTCATGAATGACTTGTTTCGGCCTTTTCTACGTAAGTTCATCTTGTTTTTTTATGATATCCTTGTTTATTCAAGATCACGTTGATCATCTCCTTAAGGTTCTACACATATTGTCTGCTAACAAGTTATTTGTCAAAGAGTCCAAGTGCGCCTTTGGAGTTACACAGGTTGCTTATCTTGGACATATTATCTCCGAGGATGGGGTAGTTGTGGACCCATCCAAAATCACTACTGTGTTGGAATGGCTTGTCCCTAGGAATGCAAAAGGAGTTCGTGGTTTTCTCGGTCTAGCTGGTTATTACCGTAAGTTTGTTAAGGACTTCGGTACTTTAGCCACCCCTCTAACCAAACTGATGGGGAAAGTGAAAGGTAACCATGCAAGGATAGGCAGCGGAATATAAAAATTTTAACATCCTAACATGATTATCTTGACTAGAATCACGTACTAAAACATATAGTAGTAAGAAATTTTTACCTTTCTCCGTAAGCGGAAAAAACGAAGAAGTCGTAAGAAGAGCGTTGAAAGTGCAAACGTAACCGTTCAAGCGTCCGGCCTCCAACTTTGACACACGAACAACGCCGGAGTCTACCACAATCTTTATGCTAGTAAAGATTATAGTAGTATAAAATATAAAGATTAAAATTTGGGATAATAATAATCTTGTATATTTCTATAGAAAATATTTCTAATAATATTTAGAAAATATTATAGATATTTTCTATACACAAATGATATTAATGAACACAATAATATATTTTCTCTCACTAAAGTGTAATGCCCGAAACTCAAAAGCAAATTGGATGATTTTCTTCTCCACTTGTTTTAATGGTGCGTGAGGTGCATATATAGAAAACAAAGATTAATTTTTGTCATTAGCTAAATGACAAATCATTTAACTCCACTAAGTAATCAATGAATGAAATTTTATTCTTCACAATCTCATCATGGCCGAATGAATGATATGAGAAGGATTTTCAAAATTCTTCTCCACTTAAATGTTCAAAGTGTATTTTATTTGACACCAAAAATTAATATAAAAATTAATTTTGAATCAAATAAAAATACCAATATCATTTTTAAACAAGTATAAACTATACTTCAAATAGTTTATGTCAAAATAGTTATTTTCATAATTAAAATGACAAACCAAAATAAAATATTCAACATATAATATATATACATTAATCGGTACATATATATAATATATATAACCGAATATTTATATATATAATATTATATTCCAAAATATTTTACTTTACTATTTTTTTTTACAAATATACAACTTACTTATTATCCCATTGTTTAATTTTACACCTTAAATTGTTCAAAGTGTGTGACCCGTATAGGCACTTATAAAGCTGGCCACAGTATTAGCTCTGCACCAACACTATAAGCAATAAGCGGTATCTAGCAACACATTGTTGCCCCCAGATTATAAGTTAAGACGTTTGCACCGTCAAAACCTTTCCACGACTCAGACTCCGTGTAACTGTATCCCTTTGTCTCAATGTCTAGACTTAATGCAAGGGATTAATAAAATCCAGCTTGTATCCATTAAGTCATTCACTGATTTATCACGTCTGACTAATAGGAACAGACGTCATAAAAGCATCTCAGCATGGCCATGCAATTTCCTTGGTCATAACTTATCAGTGGGCCCCATAAGACATTAATCTCTTTAAAAGAAATAGTGACAAATCCTATGTACGTAATCTACGTTTCTAAATACGCGCTGCGGCATACCCAAAACGAAGCCTGTATACCATCCTTATTTCATATGGCTTAGGACAATGCATCAAAGCATGCGGGTTCACATATGCAGAAAACGTAATACTTCAAGTCGAAGGATAGTTACACCTCGGTCGCGCTAAAGATGCTTAGAGCATGAACTAAAAGTTCAAGCAACATCTTTAGGATGGGTCAGTCCGGCATCCTATTATCTCTAGATAATATCTGCCCATGTGCGGATGCGAACACACCATCACTACAAGAAATTATGTCTTTTGCCACACTTAAAATTGCTCTTCGCAACATATATAAGTGCGGCAAAGAGTGTTCGCCACACATGAGCTAAGTGTGGCGGCTAAAAGTGTGGGGAAAAATTTACGACACATAAAATAAGTGTGGCAAAATGAATACGTTAAGCACACTTGTAAGTGTTGCTAATTTTGTCTTTTGCGACATTTATATGTGTTTCCAACGCACCGCACATGTAAATGCGGCAATTTTTATTTGTTTGAAAATATATATATATATATATATATATATATATATATATATTAAAAATCAAGACAATCAAAGTTTAAATTAAATTAACTTACTAATCTTGCATATAAAAAGCTATGCATCATCAAATTATAAGTACCTCCTTGGGTAGTATATCAAAAATCTAGAGTCAAAACAAATGAGTTCAAAATTAAAAAGGAATGCAATATATATTCAGTATTCTATAATATGTTCTCCAACCACAGTGTTGATCTTCACCATATCACATAATAAAGAATGGTTATGTTTGTTTTCAAACTGGTGCAGGATCACTCATGCCAAAATAAATTAATCTTCTGCTCTCTTATGCATAAGCCTGACTTCAGTTTATAAAAAAGTTTTACCATCTTTTCTTGTGTTATTATCTTTGTTCGACACCTGCAAAGTCCAAAAAACTTTGAATTAAATCTCTATCATATAAGAATTATGCAAAAAAAAAGTGATACCTAAGTATAAAAAGACAGATGCCAAAAGTGATTATCCTCTTCACTATAAGTTTCATCTCTATCATGCATAGTAAAGTCGTTTGGAGATCCGCCTTCGTTTTCAAGCAAGTGCTGATACTCTTCAAAGGTACGCTTTGAACGAAACATTACTTCCTCAAATTAGATCTGTGCAGCATAAACCGTTAGATTCAAGGCATATCATGTAATATACATTCTACAAGCATAAAACTAAATCAAAAGTTCATATCATTAAAAAATAAATACAAATACAGACTAGAAGCCATTCTCTTTTACCACTGCATTGCACAGT